GGAACCAGATCAGCCGATGCCAGTCCGCCTTTACTCTCCTTTGTCTGATATTATCCCAAATCCATATGCCCTTAATCCGTGACAAATTGGCCATACGATGGAAAGTCTTCTAGCCTCCTCCCTCATCTTGATCAGCTTACAAAGAATCAAACTGAAGTGAGCTTTGCTATCAAACTCCCAATACTGTACTGATTTAAAACAGTAAGTCTTTACCCAAGCAATCTGTTGACGAAAACGGGTAAAGAAAAACAAAAGAACACGAGAATTTTACGAGGTTCGGCAATGTGCTTACGTCCTCGGTGCCTAGGCGGCACTAGAAGTTTTATTCAATGATATTTTAAGTCTAGGTTACATCTCTATTTATAATAGAAAACCCTGGTACATAATTACAAAATAAACCCTGTACCGTACCGCAAGGCATGCGCCCCCGTACCCCCAACCCACATAATTCGTATCCCCACAACGAGATTTTCTTTGTAAGGACAGTTGATGTTCGCTTCGCTCACTTCGCTCCATCCTGTCCTCTTTACTGGTATATTTATGAGCCATACCTAACAAATCTCCACCTTGGCGAATATCCTGCCCCTTGGAAACTTCAATGTGGGTTGGGTTACCTAGCTTCTTTAACAACTCAAAACATTCAACAAGTCCAAGCAATGCTTGAACTTGTCTGTCGTAATTGGCTTGGTGAACATATCAGCGGCATTCTCATCAGTATGTACCTTCTGAAACAAAACCTCTCTAGATGCAACCAACTCTCTGATCTTGTGGAACCTTACATCAATATGTTTAGTTCTAGCACGATACACCTGATTCTTAGCCAAGTGAATAGCACTTTGATTATCACAAAGCAACTAAACTCCACCTTGTTGAACACCCAACTCCTTCACTAAACCAGTAAGCCATAAAGCTTCTTTTGCAGCTTCAGCCGCTGCCATGTACTCAGCTTCAGTTATAGATAGAGCCACAACAGATTGAACAATAGACTTCCAACAAATAAGCCCTCCACCAAGAGTAAAGACATACCCTGTCGTAGATCTTCTATTATCCAAGTCACCTGCATAGTCTGAATCCACATATCCTACAACTAAAGGATTATCCCGCTGACTCCCAAAAACAATTCCATGTCCCACAGTACCCTTTAAGTACCGAAAGATCCACTTGACTGCTTCCCAATGTTGCTTACCAGGTTTAGACATGTACTTACAAACTTGACTAACAATATGAGCTAAATCAGGACGAGTACATACCATCGCATACATCAAGCAGCCAACAGCATTAGAATACGAAACCTTTGCCATATCTTCAGCTTCCTTATCTGTCTTAGGGCACTGTTCTGATGAGACTTAAAGTGATTTGCCAATGGAGTGCTAACTGGTTTCGCGCTGCTCATCGCAAACCTTTCTAGCATTTTCTCAACATAACCCCGTTGAGATAGCCGCAGTTTCCTTGAGTCTCTGTCCCTGCAAATTTTCATTCCAAGAATTTTCTTTGCAACACCTAAATCTTTCATATCAAATTCCTGACTTAATAAAGTTTTCAAACCGATAACATCATCCATGTTCTTCGCAGCAATCAACATATCATCAATATACAGTAATAAAAAAATAAAAGAACCATCATCAAGGCTCTTAACATAGACACAACAATCATACTCACATCGGTTGTAGCCAATCTTGATCATATAGGAGTCAAACCGTTTATACCACTGTCTCGGAGACTGTTTCAACCCGTACAAAGATTTCTTCAATCTGCAAACTAAATGTTCATTTCCAGGTTGAGTGAAACCTTCAGGTTGCCGCATGTAGATCTGCTCCTCTAAATCACCATGCAAAAAAGCAGTTTTAACATCCATCTGCTCTAAATGCAAATCTCAACTAGCCACCAATGCAAGTACTGTTCGGATTGAAGTGTGCCTGACCACAGGAGCAAAGATTTCATCATAATCAACTTATTTCTACTGTGAAAAACCCTTCGCTACCAAACGAGCCTTGAACTTCTCCCCTTCTTTTTTTGTTACTGCTGGTTTCTTCTTATACACCCATTTGCAACCAATCGGCTTCTTACCCTCAGGAAGGGGAACTCCCATGTGCGATTGTGATTCAAAGACTCCATCTCCTCAACCATGGCTGCCATCCATCACTGCTAAGAATAAGTGCAAAGATACCAAGTCTTCAAAACCCATCTGTTCGGAGGCTTTATATTCGGCCGTCACCCTGTCTCTGGCGAGACTATAATCCTGCAAATCATCCATGGAACCACCAGAAGTCGTTGAGAAGTTTCTAGTTTTCTCAACTGGAAACTGCTCGAAATCCACCACTGTCGTGTCTTGCTTCTGCTGCAACATGGACCATCAAAAACGAATCTCTACTAATCACAACTTTCTTCGCACTGGATCCCAGAACTTGAATCCTTTGACACCTTTCTTGTAACCCAGAAAAATGCACTCCTTCGATTTTGCATCAAGTTTGGATCTCTCATCAGCAGGTGCATGCACATAAGCAGGACAACCAAAATCCGTAATTATCAAAACTAACATCATGACTAGTCCATACTTCTGCAACTTTCCCAGCCAGCGATGCCCTTGGTGATTGTTGATAAGGTAACACGCCATGTTAACAGCCTCAGCCCAGAAGTGTTTGGGAAGCCCCGCATTCAACCGCAAACATCTGGCTCTTTCATTCAATGACCTTTTCATTCGTTCCGAAACACATTCTGTTGTGGTGTCTTGCGCATTGTAAAAGCCTCTGAATCTCATGCTCCTTACAGAATTGTAGGAACTGTGAATCTGTGTACTCCGTACATGTTAGACCGCAAACACTTGATTTTTCGTCCTGTTTGGTTTTCTACCTCAGCTTTCACAACTTGAACTTCTCAAAAACTTCAGATTTCTGTTTCAAAAAATACACCCAAACTTTCAGTGAAAAATCATCAATAAAAGTAACATAGTACCTAGATCCACCCAAAGACGATGTTGTGGAAGGCCCTCATACATCAGAATGCACATAATCAAGAATCCCTTGAGTTGTGTGCTTCGCAGTCTTAAAACGGACTTTAGTCTGTTTACCAAGAACACAATACTTGCAAAAATCGAGCTTACAGCTTTTGACACCGTGCAACAAGTTTCTCTTGTGTAATTCTTCCATACCACGTTCACTAAGATGAGCAAGGCGCATATGCCACAATTTTGTCGTATCATCACAGGACTCAACAGAGTGAACTCCACCTGTAACGGTACTCCCTAACAATCTGTAGATATTCCCTGCAGTCATCTTGCCTTTCATCACAGTCAATGCTCCTTTAACAATCCGAATGGTTTCCCTATCCTCGTCAGCCTTAGGGATAAAACCATTCTTTTGCAAAGTGCCCAAGGAAATCAAATTCTTCTTCAAGTCTGGGATATGTCGAACACCACTCAACGTCCGAACGGAGCCATCGTGCATCTTAATTCTGACATCACCAATACCAACAATATTGCAACATCGATCATCACCCAAATAAACCGAACCAGAATTAACTGGCCTGTATGTCGAAAACCATTCCCTATTTGGCGTGATGTTATAAGAACATCCAGAATCAAGAATCCAAGCATCCGTCAATTGTGTCATTGAAATAGAAAGCATATCACCCTCACTGCAATCAGAATTATCATCCTCGACCACGTTCACAGACTTGGATGAGCCATCACGCTTCTCATCAGTCTGCTTTTTCAACTTCGGACAGTCTCGCTTCATATGTCCCGCCTCCTTGCACTTGTAACAGTGAATCGTCTTCTTATCCCTAGATTTGGATCTGGAATTCCGCTTCCCGGACCCTGCCTTCTCTGGCTTCCGTCCACGATCTCGATTACCCTTGACATATAAGCTATCGGCTTGAGAGCTTTCCCCTGCATTCTACTTCCACTGGTTGTGAGCCAACAAGGTTGTAGTAATCTCCTCAACGTTGATAGTCTCTTTCCCATATGTAAGAGTAGTCACCATGTGTTCGTAAGAGGGAGGCAACGAACACAACAGAATCATCGCTCTGTCTTCATCCTCAATTTTCACATCAAGCCAGATCAGAAACGATTTGATTGAAGACATTCACGTGTTGCGCCAAATCGTGATCGTCCTGCATCTTCAGCCCATACAGACGCTGCTTCAGATACAGTTTTGTCGTTAAGGATTTGGACATAAACTGACTTTCCAACTTCCTCTAAATTTCATCTGGAGACGATAGATGCATGACGTGATACATGACCTCGTCCGCCAAACATAATCGTATGGTTCCTGCCGCTCGCTACTGCAATTCTTCCTAATCTTCCTCATCCATCGACGCCGGCTTTGAAGGTCGCAAAGCCTTCAAGATCCCTTGCTGCGCCAATAGATCCTTCACCCTCGTTTGCCATAATCCAAAATTACCCTAACCATCGAATTTCGTGACTTCGAATTTTGCTCCTGACTTTTGATACCAATTGTTGACAAAACGGGTAAAGAAAAACAAAAGAACACGAGAATTTTACGAGGTTCGGCAATGTGCTTACGTCCTCGGTGCCTAGGCGGTGCTAGAAGTTTTATTCAATGATATTTTAAGTATAGGTTACATCTCTATTTATAATAGAAAACCCTGGTACATAATTACAAAATCAACCCTGTACCGTACCGCAAGGGCTGCGCCCCTGCACCCCCAACCCACATAATTCGTAACCCCACAACGAGATTTTCTTTGTAAGGACAGTTGTTGTTCGCTTCGCTCACTCTGCTCCATCTCTTATCCTCTTTACTGGTATATTTATGAGCCATACCTAACACAATCCATAAGGACCCCTCCCCAGCAAGAATGTTTTTAATAAGCATGAAACAACAAGCCTTGCTCCAATCAGCCAGCTTTTTAAGGCCTAAACCACCCTCAGATTTAAGGGTACAAACCTATTCTAGCTAACTCTAGTCCCTCTTGTTGAAGTATCACAACCCTTCCAAAAAAACCTCAAGCAAATCTTCTCAATATCCCTCATAACCCCCTTAGGCAGAATGACCTGCATGCACCAGTAACCAAATATAATGAAAAAAGGACAGACTTCACAAGTTGTAATCTACCCCCAAAGTTGAGTTTCATGCTAGACCATTTGTCAATCCTACCTTTGATTTTCACAAGTAAAGCAGAGCAGTCCTTACTTGTGAGCTTACGAGTGACCAAGGGTACCCCAAGGTACCTAAGAGAAAGCTGGCCTAACTTAAAACCATTAGCACTTTCGATCACTTCAAGCTCATCCCTAGCCACTCCATAAGCAAACAACTCAGACTTTAAAGCATTCAACTTAAGACATGAGAGTTCATAAAACTTTTCAAGGGTTCTAACTAATCCCAACATAGCATCCAAAGACCCATGACAGAACAAAAGCAAGTCATCAGCAAAACAAAGATGAGTGAGGGGAATTCTTTTGCACTTAGGATGAAATTTGAAAACACCATTCATTGGTGCAGCATCCAACAGGGCAAATAAAACATTCATAACAATAACAAAGAGATAAGGAGATAGAGGATCCCCTTATCTTACCCCCTTTAAACCCTTAAAAAATCCCACCAAGCTTCCATTCAAAGATATTGAATAGCTAGGATTAGCGATACAAGATTTTATCCATCCACAAAAAACCTCAGGTAAACCCATAGCTTCCAAAACAGTCATCAAAAAATCCCAACAAATTGAATCAAAGGCCTTTTGCAAATCTACCTTAATAGTGCACTAGGAGATAGATTTTTCCTAGAGTATCCCTTTACAATTTCTTCAGCAAGCAAAGTGTTATCAGCTATGTTTCTACCCTTAACAAATGCTGACTGGTTAGGGGAGATCATGTCAGGGAAGAACAAAGCTAATCTAGAAGCCAAAATTCTAGTGATAGTCTTGTAAATCACTGAGTAGCAAGAGATAGGCCTGAAATCCTTAGCCATGCATGTATTTAAGGATTTAGGGGCTAAGACTAGGGCAGTGGTATTGAAAGCATGCAAGAGGGTTGAATTTGAAAAAAGTACCTTACAGTATTTAAGAAATCATTACATACAATCTCCCATGCAGCCTTGAAGAACCAAGAAGTGTAGCCATCAGGTCCAGGACTTTTATTGTTTCCTTGTCTGAACAATGCATCTTTGATCTCAGCATTAGTGATCTCAACAGTAAGGACATCAGCAACACTAGAAGGAATGGAATAAGTCGGGACAGATTTAAGCCACTCAGCAGAATAACCCTTCACATTAGAGTCAGCAGTTCCAATAAGATCCTTAAAAAATTTCTCAAGAACAGCTGCCATATTCTCAAAAGATTCATGATAAATCCCACTATCATCTTTAATAACCTTAATAGTGTTCCTCTTCTTGTTAACTTCTATTCTCTGATGAAAAAACCTAGTGTTCAAATCACCTTTTTGTAGCCAGTGGACCTTAGCTCTTTGTTTATAAAATTCAGATTCAGCATCTTCAAGAGCTACAAGATTAGCTCTAAGTTTACTCTCTTCCTCCAGCCTCCTTTGATCCACATGAACAATATTAAAAAGATAATAGATTCAGGCTCATCCCTTTTAACAGCAACTCTACCAGAAATATCTGAAAAATAGCTATTGTTCAATTCCTTTAAAACTGGCTTTAGCCTCTTCAACTTGTTAAAAAGTAGCTGCATAGCATTGCTCCCACATTGCTTTTGCTAAGAGTCTTTAATAACCCTTAAGAAGTTCTCATTAGCAGTCCAACAGTTACAAAACTTGAAAGGCTTTGGTTTATGAACCTGAGCCCTTTTCTGAGTCCAAATGATACCAGGACAGTGATCTGAAACACCCTGGGCTTTAAATTCCACGGCAGAGTCTGGAAACTCAATTAACTATTGAGGGTTTATTAAAACTATGTCTAGCTTATGAGCTAAGAAGGAATTTTCTTGCTTGTTGGACCAAGTATAAAGAGGACCAATGTAGGGATGATCTTGGAGCTCCAAACCCACCAAACACTCCTTAAAATCATCCATGTCAGAATTAGTGTACATACCTAACTCACCAAAGTTAGAACTCTCTTGTGCACTTTCAAAGATGTTGAAATCTCCCCAAACACCCAAGAAGAGGAACCAACATCAGATTCCAAACTCTTTAGATGAGCCCATAGGCCTCTCATAACCAGACTATTATTACTGCCATATACAGCAGTAATAACCATCCTATGACCAACCACATTACCAACAATTGAGATAGTCTGATCACATCTCTTAAGAACAGAGAAACCTTATTTCCAAAGTAACCAAAGTCTACCCCCATCAGAGAACTCATAATTATCTGCTAAGTTCCAGTCAGCATCCAGTACCTCAGAAAAACTAGGGAAATTAACTCTCCTAACTCTAGTTTCCATGAAACATAGAACACCAACTCCTAAATTCTCCAATATTCTAAAAACTTTCTCTTTCTTGAGCCCATTATTGAGACCCCTAACATTCCAGAAGCTTATAATCATCTATTAATGATAATAGGAGAAGCACTACTAGCAACACTAACTCCAGTATCTTTAGCCTTCGCCAAATGATCCTTCTTTTTAAATTTAATCTCATTCAGAAGCATTGTAACCCCCAAGGAAGCTGCCCTAGACTTTTTATTGCCATCAACAGTACCACCATCAATAAGCAAATACATCTTACTAGATGAGTCTGTATTAACCATCTTATTCCCACAAGTCTTCTTCTTCTGAATTAAAGAGTTGCAGGGAAGGAAACTCACCACAGCTAGTGTTCACCTGATCCACTGAAGGCAAAAACTTCTCAGTCGCAACCCCTGACAGGCCCTCAACAACTTGGTCAACAGAAAGTTGTAAATTCTTGTCAGTTACATCAGAAACAGTTTTAACAAGATTTTGGGAGATACCAGTATTATCTTCAACAATCACTTGCACCATATCTATTGTGCATTCTTGTAGAGCTTGAACTGGCAGCTCCTCAGCATCACCAACTTTCATATCAGTAGTATTAGCTACTACATTAACATTATTATCTGACTTCTCAAGAAAATCAAGGATAGGATTTTCCTTCCTCCTCCAAATCATATTATCTTTAATTTTCCCCTTAGCTTTAGTATTCTCAGCACATGAGTAAGTCTGATGCCCAAAGCTTTTGCAATGAGTATAGAATTTAGGGAACCATTGAGCATAGACACGAACTATCACTACAGAGCCATCCTGCAAAACTACATTGATTACATTTGGCAACAATGTCTCATCCTCAACCTCCACCCATACCTTGGCAAATTCCAATCTCTCCTTCGAAGTAGTAACATAATCCATATACAAAGGGATCCCAACAACAGTAGCTATATAGCTAAGGCCTCCCCTAGAAAAGAGCTGAAGAGGAACATTATAAAGCTGGATCCACACTGGAATATGTTTAAAGTCAAATTCTAGTTTCTTTAAGCTTGGCTCCCATTTCCTTAAAATTAGGGGTTTATTTTAAATGTGCCAAGGGCCATTATCCATAACTCAATCCCTCATTTCAGCATTCAAAAATGTAAAGACATAGAGGTTAGGACCAGCTAAGCCCACCTTGACCGAAGACAGCTTCCCTCAGAGAATCTCAACAATCCTCTGAATGGATCCAAAATTAGGAGGAGAACCAATAAATTGACTACCATAACATAACTCCATTCAGCGATCCCCTCCTCAAAAACAGCAGACGGAGGCTTGATAGTAGCAGTTCCCTCCGAAACCTCTGGTGGAAAGAAATCTAGGGCATGCTCCTTCGTACCATTGAAAAGTTTCCTCCAATCAAGAGCAAATCCAGCGATTCCATCAAAATTGAAACAAAATTAAGACGAAAACACACAAGATTTGCAAACAAGAAGCAGAAATTAGCGAATGAGAAGCACATCCGAGAGCCCATCAGTCCTGCTAACGTGCGCCTGGAGAGGTTCCATCGTTATTTGTTGTTAAAATTTACACAATAAATTTTTAAAGTAACATCCAAAAGGAGAATTACCATAAGATATTTTCATAAAAAAACACGAGATATAAAAAATAATAATAGTAAAAAATTAACCAGATTGAGTTCTGAATCTGATGGAATTATAACGCAAAAAATGATGTTTTTCTTACATTATCTTCAACTACCTTGAACGATAGAGACAGAGAAGAGAAAAACCATGAGAGGGGGATAAGCTTGCAGAGAATAAGAACACGAAAAAAAGAGTTAATTTCATCACACATCCTTAAACTGTAATCATCATTTTAAATTGGTTTCTAAATTTTTGAATATTCTTATTTCATCCCATAACTATGATTCTTTCTAAATTAATCCTCAAACTTTAAAAATTCCAATTTCATCTTCAAATAATGACCCTTATTCTAAACTAGTCCTAAATTATTTTTATCGTTTCAATTTTATTTCAGACTATCGGTATATATACAAATCACATCCATGTTAATAAAACCATTAAGTCAAGCTAAATTATCATATATTTAAAAATAAATTAACACTTAGGATTAAACTATGATTGAAACCGATTATATATTTGGATGAATTTAGAAATGAAATTGAAAAATCTAATAGTTTGAGACCTAACTTAAAATGATAATCATAATTTAATGATAAAATTAAAACATTGAACAATTTAAAAAGTAATTTAAAATAAATCATAATTGAAATAAAATCTTAAAAAATCAATTTAAAATTAAAATTATAGTTGAAGACTCGTGATGTAATTAACTCAAACATTAATTGAATTTGTAGTTTAGAACTGATTCAAGACAACACTAAAGATATTTCTTTTTCATAAAGAAGCTTCCTTCTTTGTAATGTCTTGGCGATCAGTGATTGGTAAGGGGAGGTTCTGTTGTGATGCGGTTAAAATATGGTTAAAAAACGACGTTACTGGTTAAATAGGTGACCGGTTAAAATCGATACCGAAAATGTTATATGTTTTCACCAGAAATATTATTTGTGTTGGTAATAATAATGGTAATAATAGCGAATGTTATCGTCTTATGTAAAATGCGCCAAAAATATTGACTTTAACATAACTGGTTGATTACTGGAAACATTATCAACCATAATAACATATTAGGTAGCGCTTATGTAACATAATAGGTAGCATCTATTTAAAGCTGATAGGGCCTTAGAAATCTGACGATAACAAAATAGGTTAATTACTTAATTTGTTATCAGTATTATCAACATATTAGGTAACACCTAAAATGTTACCAAAGTTTAAGCTGATGAAGCCTTAAAAATCCGATGATAACATAACCGGTTAATTACTAGAAACATTATCAACCATAATAACATATTGGGTAGCGCTTATGTAACGTAATAGGTAGTGCCTTTTTAAAGTTGATGGGGCCTTAGAAATCCAACGATAACAAAATAGGTTAATTACTTAATTTGTTATCAGTATTATCAACATATTAGGTAACGACTAAAATGTTACCAAAATTTAAGCTGATGGGGGTTTAGAAATCTGACTATAACATAATCGGTTAATTACTTGATTTGTTACAGTA